GCATCTATGGGGCACTCCTACTGTAAGGGAGACAGTAATACAATGTCAATGGGTAACACCTATAATAAGAGTGATGACAACACCATATCGTTGGGTTCGGCTTATAATACTGGCGAAGAGAGTGCAATCTCAATAGGACCTTCCTTTAACAAGGCAGATGATAATTTCATTTCAATGGGTCATACCTTCAGTAAAGCCAATAGCAATTTCATATCAATGGCTCATAATTATAACAAGGGAGATAATAGTATCTTATCAATGGGTCAGCCTTTTGACAAGGAGGATGGCAATTTTATATCAATGGGTCAATCATATGAAAAGGGAGATAGCAGTTTCATATCATTAGGTAACTCGTACCACAAAGGACATGAGAATTTTATTTCTATGGGTGCAACATATGGTAAAGCAAATGAGAATTTCATCTCAATGGCTCCCACCTATGATAAGCAGACTGATAATATGATGTCAATGGGCCCAAACTATGACAAGGCTGATTCGAATGTTGTGCCAATAGGTCCTCCCTATCATAAAGGAGAAAGCAATGTATCTATGAGTCACAATTACAATAAGAATGAGACCACCACCATATCTTTTGGAAGTTTCCATCATGAAACTGACACAAATCCTTCAGGCGGGATCATCAGCAGCTATGATTTGTTGATGAACAATCAAAACACAGCTGAGCAATCAGAAGAATCTGGTCTGAAGGACCCGGTTCAGTCAAACATGGATCCAAATGTAGATGACGCTCTCAAACTTGATTCTAAAACTGATACCGTTTCCAATATTAAGGAGCCAAAGACTGCTAGGAAAGCTCCTCCAAACAACTTCCCTTCAAATGTCAAAAGTTTATTGTCCACTGGTATGTTTGATGGGGTTCCGGTGAAGTATGTTTCCTGGTCACGGGAGGTAAGCTTATCTATCTGTTGATCTTTCTGATTTTGTTGACAGGTGATTCAATTTTCTGTATTAGTTTTCCTTGTTCTGACTTGTATATGTTATCTTCTGCAGAAAAACCTCAAAGGTATCATAAAAGGGACCGGGTATCTGTGTTCCTGTGATGACTGCAATCACTCAAAGGTAATGATCTCTTGTTTGATTCAGCTGCTTTGAAGTAAGATGTAATGAATTTTTTTATTTGAGATATATAACTTAGCTGGCAAATTGGATTGTATCATGCAGTCTCTCAATGCTTATGAGTTTGAACGCCATGCTGGTGCTAAGACCAAGCATCCCAATAATCACATCTACTTTGAGAATGGAAAGACCATCTATGCAGTAGTTCAAGAGCTGAAGAACACTCCTCAGGAGATGCTGTTTGATGCCATTCAAACTGTGACAGGGTCTCCTATTAATCAGAAGAATTTCCGGATCTGGAAAGGTGATGCAGAATTTTAGATGATTTTTGGAGTGACCTCTTTAACACAAACTTGAAATGTGATATCCTTACCATTTATATTTATTGATGTTGTGAAAATTGCTCTCATATAGTTCCCTCTTTTTGACTTTCTTCAGCATCATATCAAGCCGCCACCCGTGAACTTCAGCGTATCTATGGAAAAGACGAAGTTTCTGTACAATCTTGATGCGAGAATCTTCCTCATTAACTTTTTTGGGGGTAGATGGGATTGCATAGCACCATACAAAAGCTTATAGTAAATTACTAAATTATAGACTGCAAATTTGAATATTGGAGCTGGTGGATGTTTACAGGTATTTTGGCTATGTGAAATAGTTCATATTGAAAGTTAATTATTTTTGGATGTTGGACAGTTTACAAAATTTTGTATGCATGTTTATTATTCACCCTGAACCAAATATCCATAGTTATCAAGACTGGATAGTATAACCGAATGGTCGAATCGGCTTACAGATCATCTGGTAAATGTCCAGTGTGACACACCAATTTGGGCGCTTTTAGAACTCGAGGGGCATCGTCTTTGACATGAATGTCATGAATGGTTGGGGATTTATCCCTGCTCATATGTAGATAAGTCCATTTTGAGCTCAAATTTGCGAACAAGCATTATTTGCAGGCTGCTGATCAATGATGCAGCCTCTCTTGGGAGGCCACCAACTATTGTTTTATGTTGGCTGTCTTACCATTGATTAGATAAAATGTCGGCCTCCACTTCGTTGGATGAGATGAGATTTCTTGTCCAAATTCACAATTCACAACTTAAAGAATAATGGTGCACCTTTCGTTGAGAACTTAAAAAGAACATAAATATTTTTACATCAACCTTGTGAAAAATTTATAATGATCTCCCATAATTCCATAGTTTTCTCGAATGAACTGAAACTTTTAGCTGTCAATTATGTTTGTTTTTGGTTCACCTCCAGGTTCTATATCCAGGCCTCCCTCTGGCATCATTTGTTGTTGACTTGTAGTTATAGGCTCATCGTTTGGTTGGCTCTGAGTTTTTGATAATTGAGATGGAGCCTCGTCTTTGGTCTTGCCCCACAGAACCAGATATACACCAACAACGATGACAATGGATCCAATAAGACTGCAAACCATGTAGTGGTATTGGGTCAGTCCATTTTTACTGCTGTAACTATTATGCATAGGCATGTTGGGCATAGGTGAGAGAAATCAAAGCATACCTCCCAAGGTACGTGTGCTCATCTAAAACAAGGGAACCCAGAATTGCAATAATTACTGTGCCTAATGGGTTAAAAGCAGAAAAGAAAACAGGTCCCTTTTCTTTATTTACCATTCCGATAATGTAATAAGCAACCCCAGAGAGTATCCCCTGCATGAAAAAACATCTGAGACTCTGACTGTGAGTATATATTTACCATTCTTTATCTGAAGTAGAAATTTCTTACCCCATAAAAAGCTGCTAAAAGTCTTATGTCCAAGTGTATGGACCAGTCTGCATTACTGTTCCTCCATTCTACTACAAGGGCCAGGATTGCTCCTTCCACCAGACCCCAAAAACATGTAAGAGTTGCCAGGGAGAGCTTACAAGGATATGATCTTAGTGTAAATGCCTGCATTAGAATTCACCATCATATTATATTTTTTACTGATGCAGTAACACAGAGGCATGTCATCTAACATTTGAGAGTTTCTTACTTGCAAAATGATGAAACTAGACCAGCAGAAGCAAGCTGCTGCACTCAATAGAGCACTCTTTGTGATGTCTTTGTGGTTTGAATCACTTTGCATTTGATGATGATGTTGATTTTTGCCCTTTGTCCATGGCAAATTTAGTGCAGCCCCTTTGGCTAGTGTCAATATTATAGCTCCTCCAACTGTGATTATAGTCCCAAGAACCTTTGCCTGGCTATGCAGTTTCCTAATGTTTACTGTCTCAAGCCTGCAAATCCCTCACCACAACAAAGTTATAAACTTTATTTGCCTTACCAGTGTGTTTTTTTCTGTGTTTTAGTGGCTAAGGAGTTGTACCTAAAGATCCAGGCCATAAAAAATGCAATTGCAGGAAGAATATTGAACATGGCAGATGTGAAAGTAGCTGTAGAGTAGGACGTTGCCATATAGTATAGGTTCTGGTCAAGCACAGGGCTGTATAGATAGATAATGAAAATGGGGTTCAATTAAGATCATAAAGAGTAGTTTAATTAAACTTAACGGTTCAGATTCTTACTCGAAAAGGCTGAGCAGCATTGTCTTGACAAGGATGGAGGATGTCATCTTCGGCCTCAATTTCCTGGTGATCAGTCTTAACAATTAGTAATTAGTTATGATAGTTCCTTAATCTTTTTTAAAACTTGCTAGACTGTTTGAAAAGAGAAAATTTCCCTGCATATACATCAAGAGAACAAACCTATCCAAGATAAGAGCAAATGGAGCAATAAGAACAGTGGCAAAGGCCATTCGGTAGACTAAGAATATGTAATGGCTCATCCCCTGGTTCATAGCCATCCTAACAATTATGGCCTGGCCTGCATAGGCACCCTGCAAGAGAGCTACAGCTAAAATCAGCTTTGCCGGGCGGATCAGGTTAGCTAATGACTCCATAATAAACTTTGTTCTAAATATGTTTTTCCTCTCTAATGAAGCCGTGAAAAAAGCTTATGAGCATATAAGTTGTAGAGGCTAAAACACTTTCATTTTATAGAGTTCCAACCACCCCTTGCTTCTTTCTCATACCTTCTAAACAATTTTTTCTTTCTTTTCAAATTCAAGTACTCAAACAGATGCAGTGAATCGAAAAACGATTTCTTAATAAAAAGTAAAAACCCCATTTTCTGCATAACATGAAAAGTGGTAGTCTGGTAGGACTTGCCACACTTTCATCAATCAAAAACGTTGTTGGTGACTGAGAAAAAGTTAATGCAGTGAGCAATTTATGGCAATGCGGAAAAGAAAAAAAAAACAAAAGAGGGCTTTAGTTGGGTTTATTCAAACGTATTAATATCACAAACAATGAAAGAGTTGTGCAAGAATATATTTGTAGCAGATAAAAAACTGAATTATTACATAATTAGACTAATTAGAGGCAGGTTGTTGGAAAATGAGTCCCTATGAAAACGACCCTGTTACCCCCCCACAGACAATGACAGGTTTCAACTAAGCCTCCTATAAAAAGTTTTTAATGAACACAAGCAAAAGGATTAGTAATGTGATTAACTACTCATGATCTACTCTTATTCTGATCATCCCAGACCACTTTGATTTGAACCAAGACTACTACACTTTGATAAAGTTATTAACTTGTAAATAACAAACATGTGTAGATTTAGTGGACGTTCGAGGTGATGATACGTAGATTTAATCCTTAATCCCTATGGGGTTGGACTAGCCTCTCAAAATTTTGCCAACTAATAGATTATGTGCTTTGCTTGTTGGAGAGTGCAAGCAAATACCAATTTGGCATTGAGTGGTTCATCACTTCTTGTTAAGCAATAAGTAACCACTATCATTCCCAATTGCATTCATATTAGTGCCATTATAATTTACTTCAGTACGGAAACAAGCATCATTTCACAAAGAAGTAATTGCAAATTGAGCAAATTGATTTAACTGATCAATCAGTAATATTGGTGTCAAGATGCCAGCTTTACATGGACCTAACTGGATTCAAGCATTCAATTATTTGGATTTGTGATATAAGTACTGCATAAAATTCATGACATTAAAACTCAAACCATGCAACACAAAGATTGTGCCAAGAAGAGCATCCATGCCCAATTCAAAACACCTTTCTGCAGAAGGAGGGAGCAAGTAGCAACCACTCTGTTCCATATTAAAACTATGATTTCACTTATGAGATTTTCAAAGTAGAAATTTCCTCTTCTTTTTTTAAGTGACTGGTCCACTACTCATAATTCGCCAGAATCTTTTAATGATCCGCAACAACATAACAGCTTAACTTGTATAAATTTTGGCTTGCATGGAATTCGTTGCGAATTGAAAATTCAAATTCGAAGCAGTTATTATATTGTACATATCAGCTTCTTACTTGGTAACATCAGTGGCCAAAAAATCTTTTATCTGATGTCACTGTCCTCTCCATGAATGTAGTTTTCGTTAAACCGGTGGAACCACGTCATCTTTTTCTGATTCAGATGGAATCCGATCCTTACTTTTACCCCATAGAACCATATAGAGGCCAATCACAATGACCATTGCTCCAATTACTCTGCAGAAAAAAGAAAAAAGCCTCATTAGCCCTTCCGCAGAAATCTTTCGATACACAAATTTCTTTCCTGCATTTTGCCACTGAGTAAAAGCTCTTCATCTATTTTTTTTGTCTTTATATACAAAACTACTTAAATCCAAGGTGATCCTAAATTTGGATTTAGAAGAGAGACATTGATGCAAACCTTCCCAAGTACATTATCTCAGCTAACATGAAGGAGCTCATAACAGCAACAATAATCATGCTTAGAGGACTAAAAGCAGTCACAAAAACAGGTCCCCTTTCCTTCATTACCAATCCCTGAACGTAATACACGACACCTGAACATATTATTCCCTGCACCAAAATATATTCATGCTGTAAATACACTTGTAAAGGATATCTATTTATAGCCTGCATAAAGCTTGTTAACCAGAAAGCTTGGGGTTGAATTGAAGTCTGCTTACACTGTAAACAGCAGCTAACAACTTAGAATCCCAGTGTATGGACCAAGCTGCAGGGTTATCCCATTCGAAACCTAGGGCCACCACGGTGCCTTGAACCGTGCCCATCAAGCATATCCAAGCTGCTAGGGAGAGCTCAGCGGGGTAAGACTTTAGCGTAATTGCCTATAGAAGCAGCAATTCTACCTCAATCAGTACAATCATCAATTTTCTTTGAAATAGGAAAATAGAAAAAAGTTTAGACAATCTTAATCCAGCAATTGTGCCTCATTAAGATGACAGTGTAGGTGATAATTGTGTATTAGTCTATTTCCTTGCAGTTCAAATGCTATGGGGTAAGGACATATACCCACACATGTAACTGTGAGTTGTTACTTGTTACTCAAGTTACATAAAAGATTTGGGATTTACTTGCAGATTGACGAAACCAGCCCAACAGAAACATCCAGCTCCAATCAGGAGAGTACCCTTTATGGGATCTTGATGATCTGTGGCACTTGTAGATTCTTGATGAATGTTTCTTCTTGTCCAAGGAAGATTCAGCATCGGTCCATTAATTAGAGTCATAAGCATAGCTCCTCCCACAGTCACTATGGTCCCCAATATCTTTGCCAGGCTACGCAGGCTTCTAAAATTAATATTCTCAAGCCTAAAAGACCAGTCAAACTAATTAATTCCACATTTCTTGACCATGCAAGGAAGGGATATACCGTCGGAATATGTGAACCACAGAATATTTACCTGAAAATCCAAGCCATTATGAATGCAAAGGCAGGAAGAACATTGCACATGGCAGATGTAAAAGTTGCTGTTGTAAGCTTCATCCCGGTATAGAACAGGTTCTGGTCGATTACAGGCCTGATAATGAGAGTAGACATAACTTGATTAGCACGATTCCAATATGTTTAAAAATGAAACCAGCATGATTAATAAGTCTTTTCAAGCTTATAAGTTGGAAAATATGTGGCTTAGTGGTCACGGTTCTTAACTCTAATAGGCCAAGTAACAAAATCTTGGTGAAAACAGAGAAGGTCATCTTTGGCCTTACTTTCCTGCGAGAGCATCAACTTCAGTGGATTAGTTTCTTCATTGCTCAACATGTCAAATACAAAAAAAAATCAAGACACACAAAAGCAGACAGAGAGAGACAGAGACAGAGACAGAGTACCTATCAAACACAATGGCAAAAGGAGCTATAAAAACAGTGGCAACAGCATGCCGGTACACGACCAATACATGTTGGCTCATCCCCCGGTTGAGAGCAAACTTTGAAATTATGGACATTCCTGCATACCCAAATTGCATCAGAGTGACAGCCACAAACGGCTTCGCCAGATTGATCATCTGAGCCATAGAGCTCTTAGACATACTGTTGTTCTAAAACTATGCCTCTTGCTTAATTTCTCAGTATGGTGAAAAAACTAGCAGCTACTTGATCAGTGATGAGGAAAATGAACAAGAAGGTGCACTTACTTTATAGGTGCAGTAACTTTGGGTACGTCACTCAATCTTGAATATTCCAGGGGACTCCACTAAGGTGAGCTAAAATACCATTCTGTGAAGTGAGCCCATTTCATCAAACCAAGCTTCAAAACCAGTAGTCTTTTCCTCATCGAATATCATGCATCACATGATTCATATCTGACTCACAAGTAATAAAATCACTGTTCCAAGTGATTAACCCAAACATGTCAACCAAATGGTTGGCTTAAACGTACCTCACTACATCATATCTCAAAAGGCTTTGAGAGCAATACCCAAAATAAAGGATGCCTGAAAATGGCATAATTTGATTTGATTTCACCATTTATTTTCTGTTTTGGGTACTTATATTTGCATGGTTCTCTTGATCAACTCAACCATAAATGGAGACTGTTTATTTACAAATTACTAAGTTAGGGGAAAATTAATGAAAAAAAGGGAGACTAAATGTGACTTTATATACAATGCAGATCCATGATCAATTAATGCATGGTAGCAAAATCTTATTCAATTATTTGCTTCTAGTAGTTGTTTTATAATACTTTTTTTTTTTAAAACACAATTTTATAAAACACGGTGTAAAATATAGAAGTTGTAAGAGCATGTGCTCATAATCATATGCATGCATATATGCTTTAATTAGAGAATATTTTTGGTCACAAACAAATTGGGCACAATATGTCAATGAAACTATCATTCATTATCAATTTGGGCAGATGGAAAACAGCCAGAGACTAGCCGAATCAGATAAAATTTGCAATTAACAGAAAAATTTTTATTTTTTATTTTGGAACCAGTGACCATAAAATAAAAGGTTTATATAGTGATAATAATTTAGAAAAATAATGATTTAGAAGATATTATAAAACGCATTTTAAACTTATATAATAATAATATGTTCTGATTCACATTCTACAGGTCCAGGGGAAGTGCACTAATCCTGTTATATGCTCCTCATTGATAAATTGCCACTGAGAGTTTGAGTAGGAATTATAAAATGAAATTTCATTCATGGCCAAGCCAAATTTAGATCTAGTGCAAGAAATTAGTGGCTCTAGGTTAAAGGAGAGAGGGACATATTTTAATTATCTTTATTTTAGGGCAATTAATTAACTGAAAATGCCATCCATCTCATACTTCCACATTTGTATTTTCCGTGTGCATGTCGATTAAAACCTTGGCTTGTAGGGTACCCATTTCTTAACCACATCATTATATATATGACTTGAACCAATGTGTCCTTGCCCATGGTTTAAGTTGAATTGACTTGCTCAGTTAGTTGATCTCTTCCACCTCCATTCATATGGATAGAGGTTCGAAATCCCCAGGCCCCCTCTCCTAATTACTTGTACTCAAAAAGTTGAATTGACTTTGAAGTGGTTTTTTTTTTAATTAATCAAAACCCATGTCATGCAGCATTAAATCTTGCTCTAATTTAGAGGTTTATCTCTATCTTCCTTTTATCTAATCCACAATTAAGGAACAAAACTAGTTCCTGAAGCAAATTTAGAGGTGCATATAGTTTTTTATTGATACTAAAATGCTTTGCCAACTCCACTAGTGGTTGCCTGTATTAAGCACATGCTATGCAAAGTACAAGTATGCTTTAGAGTTGACAAAAATTCTAACCCTTTTAGTTCAGCATCTTTCCCAAATGATGAAAACACAACACATTGTTGCTAATCCTCAGATACCTACAACAACTAGCGTCTGGGGATAAAAATGCTGCACAGATTTCAAAGTCAAAAAGTAAAGTTAGGAGGACAGGCAGGAAAGTTTTTCTCCTGGCATTTAGACATGTGCCGAATTGATATGATCATATGCTTCATCAAATACTTCAACCATAATAACAGGGAATTGCAGTACAATTGAACCAAAAAAATAATCCGGAATGGCCAAACCAACCTTCTGTTATTTAATGATAAAGCATCTTGACATTATTCTCAAAAACACTTGTGCATCATCACATGAGAGAAAAAAAAAAATCTTAATCCTTGAGACGCCGCTCAGCTTGCATGGTGAAAAACCACCATTTGTATCAACAAAAAATCAGGATAGGAAATTTCAGATAGTAGTATTATGTAAGTATCTATAAACACGTCATTCATTGGTTTGGGATAAATATGCACGGGCTTCAGATGTGATACTCAATTGGCTCCGGCTGCACTGCCTTGTGCACAATCTCGTTTTGTTCCTTCACATGAACCTGATAGAAACCAGTGGCTGTGGCAGCTGATGGAGCACGGCCAACATACTTGATGTCTTCGATCGTTCCTCTGCCCAGGGACTTCATGGCCGAGCAAAGGCGGGGTGCAATATAGCTGTATGCACCCATGTTCATTGGCTCTTCCTGGCACCAAACTATCTCAGCATCTGAAGGAATAAAATTAGAAATTGTCAACCTCATGATGTCAGCAAAATAGGAAAATGCTATATCATCTCAGGACTGTATAGTTTTAATTTATATGCTAATGTAGCAGCTGAGTAGGCGCCTTGTGTATCAAACTAATTTCTTGCACACACGTTGATATGACACCACTACATATGTCGCCACAGTTAGTTAATAATGATTGGAATTCTTTATACCTCCAGCATTATCCTATGGTCAAAGTATTGAGATGCAATACAGGAATCCAATTTACATACACCTATAAAAAGATAAAATAATGTATATTATTCGCTTTTTAAATGGCAAGTTCAAGGTACATACTTGGATATCGCTTCAGCTCTCTCTGGATAAGGTCATATGGAAAGGGGCAAAGCTGTTCCACTCTACAAATTGCGACATCCTTTGCTTCAACCTTTCTTCGCTCTTCGTCAAGCTCATAATAAAGCTGCATGCAGGGAAAACCAAGAATACATCGCAGAAAATATAATTAACTATTTGTTCCTTGGGTAAGATAAAATGATATAAGTCATAATTCTCTACAAGTCAACAAAGTATTATTGATCTATTTCTGTCAGGTTCCATTCATAATTCTTTCATTCTCCAAGGTCCGCTGAATAAAAGCCTATTAATTATTTTACTGGTAAAATAATGCAAAGAAGCCACACAACATGCTTTTATTTATGAAGGAAATCCAGGAATATTAATACCTTGCCAGAGCAAAGAACTAGCCGTCTAATACCCTCCTCCAGATCAGAGTGGTCATTCTGGTCCTTGATGAGGCGCTTAAATCTGGTCCCCTGCTTGTCAAAACCTGGGTGGCCTTGCACATCATCAAATTCAGATAAATTTGATTTGCACTCCTTGTGCCGTAGCAGGTTTTTAGGAGCCATCACAATAAGGGGCTTACGGAATTCCCTGTGCAACTGAGAAATGAGACAAGAACATTAGAACCTGCATAAATTTTTCAAGATTCTGGAAAATGCTGATAAACAAAATAGCTTTTAAGTCACCTGACGACGCAGAACATGGAAGTAGTTGGCAGGAGTTGTCACATTAACAACCTGCCAATTGCATTCCTGAATTTGCTTCCGAAGTGTAGGATCCATCTCAGGTATGACAAAAGGATTGTCATCACTCATCTGTAATAAAATTAGTTAAGATGGGGAACCATGCCAGAGACTGCTGTTGTCTAAAGTGGAAAAGGGGAAGAAGGGGGAGGAGGGATTAACCATATTTGACAAAAGAATACCTGAAGAAATCGCTCCAGTCGTGCACTAGAATGTTCAGGGCCCTGGCCATCATAACCATGAGGAAGCAGCACAACAAGCCCAGTTTGACGAAGCCATTTGGACTCCCCACTACTCAAAAACTGATCAAATATAACTTGAGCTCCATTGGAAAAATCACCAAATTGAGCTTCCCAGATTACCAATGCATTCGGACTCTCCATCGAGTAACCCAATTCAAATCCAAGAACACCAAACTCAGACAGTGAGCTGTACATACAAACACAATTAGCTTCTGTACAAGGCAAATTAAAAACGAAAACTCCAATTTAGCCAAGTACTATTCAATATCAAATAAGTCATAATGTGGTGTCTGGCAGTCCTACAACCTTACGAAAGGGAACACTATAAAAAGTAATCACTCATTACCTGTTGCTAACTGTAAACATTTCCTCATCTTGGTTAGCCATAATGTGGTCAAGAGGGCAATACCTCTCCCCAGTTTCCTGGTCATGAACTACAGAGTGCCGATGACTAAATGTACCTCTTTCAACATCCTGACCGCTCAATCGAACATGGTTACCTTCTACTAGTAGTGTAGCAAATGCAAGTGCTTCAGCAACTGCCCAATCAATTCCTTCACCGGTCTCAATCATTTGTGCGCGTTGTTCATAATTCTTCTTTACTGCTCTGTGAGGCTTAAAAGTTTCTGGGAGGGATGTGACTGCTTTGCCAACACTCTTCAAAATCTCTGGTTTTACCCTGTACAGGATATAAATTCATTAAAATACAATTAAGTCAAATCGAATATTAGGAAGAACAGGTGCAACTGATAGAAAAACAGTGCTATACCCAGTATTCCGGATCCGGGAAATCTGTTCAGGTGACTTAAATCCAGACCAATGAGATGAAAGCCAGTCCCTTCTTTGAGGAACATAATCCTTGCTAGCCAAGAATTCTTCATTGAGAATTGAATTAACCTTGTTCTGTATCCTTTCAATGTCTTCTTTGGTCACTTGTCCAGATTCTAGAAGTTTGTTCTGGTAGATTGTTAGAGCTGAGGGATGATTCCGGATAACCTGTAAACCCCCAATAAAGTGAGATTTTGACATTTTATCATGAGAAAAATAAAAAAATAAAAATCTTGATTTTTAATGACTAGGAAAGATGGTCTAACCTTGTACATTTTGGGCTGCGTGAAAGATGGCTCATCAATCTCATTATGCCCAAATCGACGATAGCACACCAAATCAACAACAACATCAGAATGGAAAGTCTGGCGCCATTCAGCTGCAAGCTCACAGACATGAACGACTGCCTCCATGTCATCAGCATTTA